CCCATTGCAGCAGGAACAGCTCTGCTGGCTAAAATCAAAGGCACGTTTTTGACTACAAAATCACCTTTTCATAGCGCTTTACGGCGCTGTGAGTAAGAACCGTGCGTCAGACAGATCTGCAGGGCGCTAAGGGTTAGCGTCAGTGGCTCGGTGACACCTTGCGTACCAGGAGCCTTCGCTGCTCATGGGAGAATGAGCCCCTCTGAACAGCTGCAGAGTTACTTCAGGTCGGGGTTCCTTCTGGGAACATTGAAATGTTTTCTGACCAAGGGAGGACTGCAGCTAGGAAAGCAGGTAAGCGCTGAAGTTACCGGTGCAAGTTTTAAACGAAACCTCGGGGAGAAATTCATGACACCTGGGGTTTGGCTTCCTGTAAAATAGGCTCAGGAGCACCCTGAGCTGAGCTGCTGGTCTGGACGAGGCAGGGCTCCGGTCAGTGCTGCAGAAAGACGCGTGGGCAGTAGGTAACGGAGGGAAGGGTAGTCCAGCCTGCCTTGAAAATCCCTGGCATTGCCCACATTTAAACCCAAAAGCACGTATCCACTGTAATTCATGAAAAAACGGAGTTTTGGGACTTCACCACATACGCCACTTGCAGATTGATATTGAGGGGATGGAGGGTGGAAGTCATTAATGAACTTTACTTGTTATTAACACAGTTGGATAAAACTTAGAGCTTTGGTGAGGTTTTCAGGATTTCAAGCAGGATTTTGCTTGATCCCCAAAATGAGCTGCAGGTTTCAAAACCAACATGAAAGGTGACTCTTTGTTTCTCGCTGGTTTGTGTTCTTGCAGCTCCCCCACTTGAGACAAAAGCTGATGGTAGAAGCTTCAGGGGAAAAAAACCCAAACACTTCAGAGTCTCTAACCAGAGCTGTAAAGCGTCGGTCTTGGCGCTTCGCTGACACGCTGTGCTTTTGTCTTGTGCGCAGAACCCGAGCGTCAGTGAAGGAGGAGGACCCTGCCGTCCTCATAGCCGAAGTCCTGAGGAGAAAATTTGCCCTAAAGGATGAAGATCTGGCCCTGAAGGAGAAATGATGTTCCTGTCGTGAAACTGTAAGCAAGTGTTACGTTCCCAAGATTTTCTCCACGGTAGCTGCCTTCCTAAGGGTTGAGCCTTTTGCCTCTTTCATGAGTGAGAAATGGTTGCTGCACCGGACACGTGCATAGGGAAGACCCGCGGGATTTGATGTGTTTTCCATGTGGTGTTGTATTTAAGAAAAACGCTTTTTAAGAAGAGGGGAATTCTTTTCCAGCTGTATTTTGCTGTTGATTCTTGATAAGGATCCTGTGGAGTGCAGTGACTGGGTGACGTCCTTCCTACCTGCGTTCTTCCTTAGGTTCAAATTACCATTCCCGTAACGGCCGTGGTACACTGGAACCAGTTACCGCTCCCAGCATACACGGGTGGCCAACATCCCGGTCTTTGTTCCGAGCACGGTACAGAATAAGCTAATTAACACTTCCAGGGCTTCAGTGTCGCAGCGGTAAAAGGCATCTTCCCCGTAACTCCGCCTGAGCCGGTGGCAGGAGGAAACCGCCGTCGGCGATCACGCAGTCCCGCCTGAGGGCCGGGGGTTGGTTTTAGCGCCCTGGGTGTTTCTTAACTCACACTTATCCCCACACTTGCATGAGAGAATGGCCTTAATTTCTTGCCAGTAATACAACGTTTCATTACTAGTCAGTGTATTCAGATAGCACATTTTATTTAGCGTTCGAGAGGTCTATTTATTGAACCGCCGCTGCTAAGAAGCGAGCACCCACCCCGTGGGAGAAAGGGGAAGGAGGAGCCTGGCGGTGGCTGCAGTTCTCGCTGACCGCAGAGGTTCCCTCCAGCTGCACATTCTCTGCAACGCTCCTCGTGGCTGTATTTAAAGTAAGGTTTTTTCCTTTATATAAAACGGAGCCTTAATAAGACAATGGTTGTCCTTGATGTTATTAATGCACACGTGGCCAGACAGTGACGCCTGTATCTTGGGGGGGGGAATTTCAGCTGCTGCAGATGAAGGTAGTTGGATGCCAAGAATTTTCTTAATCCCTCGGCCCTCGAAAAAAGAGAAAAGGTTGGTATTGCCTCTGGCCAGCAGAGACAGCATTTACGACTTCGCCAGGTCTAGAGGGAGTTGCTGCAGCTCTTCCCCTCACCCCAAGAGCCACTGATAGCCCCGTCTCTCCCTGTCCTGGCATAAGCATTTGGTGGGAACGCTCCTGGCTACAGAGCAGACGGAGCTGTAACCCACAGTTCCTGGACACGCGCTCCACGCGCAGGGCGGATACAAGATCACACCAGAGCAATTAACTTCTGGGCTGTGACATAACTCCCGTTTGGGCTATTGCGCCGAAATCTTGGCACAGTGGGAAAGGAACGATGGCGTAAGTGGCAGCGCATAGTGCTCAGGGCGTGCTCAGCATTTCAACAGGTACAGAACGGGGCAGTCGCTGCTGCCAAAGCCGTTGTTCCGGAGCACGATCGTGCCCACGGAGGGGCTCTGCTGCTCATCACCCCAGGGTTTCTGAGCAGCTGGTGCCTGCACTTCGACACCAGCTAGAGTGAACCCATCCAAAACGCTGCATGTCCAAGAGCCAGGGATCACGCTGAACACAAGCGACGCACGGAAGTACCGCTGCCATCACGGAGACGTGGCAGCTGCCGCACGCGGTTAAACCGATACTGAGCAGTCCTTCCTGCAGCCCAGCGTGCGCGCTGCTCTGCTCTGGGCCTCAGCAGGGCCGGACCCACAGCATCAACCCTCGCGGGCACACCCCGCTCCTCCCAGGTGCATCCCCCGCTACAGCCCGTCAGGAACACGGTTCGGCCTCACCCAGCGCAGACGCACTGTTACACTCCTCCTCTGTCACAGCCCTCCTGGCGTTAAACCTGGGGTAGGCCCGGCTGAGCGCTGCGATCCCACCCGCAGCTCTCAGCGTTAGGGTGACCAACGCGACCCTTCCCTTACTGCCACGCGCCCCAGGGGCTGGCATCACTGCGGGCCCGGAATAAGGAGCTGAGCCCAGTCCTTCGAGGCAGCTGATGTTGAAGGAGATGCTGTGGTTCCTGAGCTGAGCCTGGAAAACCTTTAAATATGGATTTTCAGGATCCTAAGAAATGCAGAGGTTAGCAGGGCACTACATAAACACGAGGTAGTACTAGAGCCAGGCCTTGGCCACACCGGCTGGAATCGCGACTGAAACAGTCAAACTGTTACAAACATACAAAATAAACATTTTATTAAAGCAGAATTCCAGAGAACACACACAGATCCTGTCTGTGCATAGGTGTGCTGGCCAAACCAGCCAGCACAGGTATAGAAACAACGGGTACGCTTACCTAAATCTGACTGCTTTCCTACCAAAAACATGCTTCCCTGAGGCTTCACAAGAGGTCACGGGGTGACCCACTCAAGGTCACTGGGTGACCCACTCAAGGTCATGTATCCATGTTTAATCACTCTGTTCCCCTCCGAATCCTGCGTGAAGAGTGACTCATAGCCCACGTCGACCCACGGCTCCCCCCGTTTGCTCAAGCTGTTGGCAGCACCGCTGGCACAGCCCTTGTGGGGCGAGTCGGGCAGCTCCCTGCGAGGAGATGGGACGCCCTGGTAGCGGTGAGCGATCACACGGTTCCCCTGGGAATCCTGGGTGAAGAGGTGCCTGCAGGGACTGCTCAGTCCCGACCTGCAGCCCCTGCCCTCCTCGGCGGCAGCAGCATTCTGGCTGCACTCCCTCAGGGGCTGTGCTCTGCCTGGTCTCTGTGGAGATGAATAAAAGCCAGCATCCCCCATACTGCCTCTCATTCTAGCAGGAATTCCATCCTCAGTGAAATCAGTTAAAGAATCAGCGCTCCTCGAAGGCTGTGGTTTCTTACTCTGCTTTGCACCAAGTCTTGGTTGGAAATCAAGCCCAGTCCTTGTCTCCTCTGAGAGCAGCAGGCCCCCTCGTTTGTTTATCCCGCAGCCTGAAGTCACACTGCCGCTGGCTGAAACCGTTTCTCTGGCAAACGCGTCGGACTCGTTTCTGTGAGCGATGATCCAGTTGCCCTCCGAATCCTGGGTGAAGAAGCAGCAATCCTCTCCCGCCCCACAGGAAGCCTCACTCTTGCTGTGGGACTCCGCTTGTACCACCGACGGGTCCGGCGAAGGGGTCGGCGAGGCCGGTGCTTTCTGCGCAGGGCGCTGGGCCGTAGCCTGCGCCGTCTCCGCTCTGAGGGACTCTTTCTGCGCTTTCCTCGTCTGCGGCAAAGCCAAGATCTTCACAGGGGAGGCAGCCAAGGAAACACCTCTTTCTGTACAGTCTCTAGTCAGGATGAAAGGAGACGGCTTGCTGTTTTCTTTGTCTTTTTCACCTGAAAACAACACGGAATTGGTTAAAGCCTGAGCTGGCACGCTCATTGTCAGGGTTAGTCACAACCCACAGCACCACTCCTCAGAACCGCTTTACTGCACCTTCGAGTAGTGCCCCACAGACCGTTCTCCCCCAGACTAACACCACCACCCCATAATAATCTCTGCATGCTGCTGAGGCTGCGATGGAATGGCAGTCCAAAACGCTGGGTGTGGTTCAAAAACAGGAAGCTTCCCTCGCTTGAGGTGCCAGAGTTGCTCTGGTGTTTGGCCTCTCTGCCTTCCGTCCCCCAGCTTTCCAGGCAGCTCACCCACGACACCCCTGTAAAAACAGCAGCTCCAGAACCAAAGCCCACAGGGAAACTTCCGCAGCTTCTCCATCGCCTGAGGAAGCATCAAGTCCCACGTTTCCTTCCGAAACCATTCAATACCAAATGTAATACAACTTCTCAATCTAAGAGCGTTCCTCCTCAATTCAGGATAAGCAAAAAGAATTCCAAGTAAGAAATACTCCAGCATCTGAAATCCTCCCGATTCCTGGACGTTCACCCTCCGGAGGAACAGCAGCAGCATTCAGTGAATCCAAACACACGCAGTGAAGAAGTGAACGCAATCACTTAAGGGAATCGAGCAAAAGAGGAAAGCCCACACGACATTCAAAAGGAGTAGGAATAGCAGACCCAAAGCAAAAAGCACCAATGGCCCTGTCCTGTCGAGTAATTGTACAGGTTATGTTGTTCCCCACTGGGTTGTCCTCCCTGTGATACCAACAGGTAACCCTCAATGGGATGTTTTGCCACCACTTGGGCTGCGTCCGGCTTTCCAGCATTCCACTGGAAACTCCACTTCTGCAGGGAGTAGACCCTGGTGCGTTATTTGGAGTTCAGACTGGCTATGACTGCTGTCACTTATGCTTTAGTCACACTGAAAAAGGTGCCTGTGGTTCAATTAACCATCACAGTAAAATCCCTCCCAGGAGTTCAAACCCTTCACCTTTACCCTCTTCACTAGAAAACGCACTTTTCCGCCTAGTAAAGCTGCCAAGAAACAAAGCAAGATGGGTTTTCTGTTACGGCCTAAAGCTGCCTTCCTGCAGGCTTGCAGCTGTTCCGCATTACCTGCCCGAGCGCTGAAGAAGGCGGAGATGGTACTTTGCTTGGTGCGTGGCTGGCAGGCTCTGGTCTGCGTGAAAGCTGGGGAGGTGTGCTTCCTTTCCAGAGTTCGGCTGGGTGCTTTGGGCTTGGCTGTGTGAGTCTGGGTAGGAAAAGCAACAAGCGGCAAGTCAGTGTATGCCATTACAAACGGTCCTACCCTTCTCCCAGCACCGTGACACCGCTCCCGCCTTTGTTAAATGCTTCAGCTCCTCCTGTGACACTGTCACGGAACGTCTCAGGTGGGAAAGGGCCCACAGAGGTCACCTCGCCCGACCCCCTGCTCAAGCTGGGTCACCCGGAGCGGGATGCTCAGCCGCTCGCGCTGTCCGAGTCTCG